GGTCCTTCCACTCCCCCCTCCCACTAACACACTGGGACCTGCACCAGTCACTTTGTGCAGCATTGGTCTGCTCACTACCTCATTCAGCATAGAACTGACCTCATTCTACTACCTCTTCAGTCAGTTTAAATAAGAACTGCTCTCTGAGCTCTGTCACTTTAATCAGACTGTATAAGCTTTTTTTGCACTACAATCTTTTTATCTGCACTGTTTGTTCACTTCACTGGTTTGCACTCTATCTGCCATGTGCCTTGCGCTGCTTTATTTAACTTTAGTTTTATTTTTTTCTTATTTTTTTACATGCCCTTATTTGTATAGTTGTATTTTATATTTTATATTTAATCTGTATCTATCTGTATTTTTAGGCTCTACTGTTAGTGTTATCTGTATGCACCATGGGTCTGAGAGTAACGCAATTTCAATTCTCTGTATGTATGCTGTACATGTGGAAGAATTGACAATAAAAAAAAAGCAGACTTGACTTGACTTGACAAACAGTCCTAATCCACCCAAAGACACTGTACACCATTGAGGGAATAGTGATAGAGCCTTAGGTGCTGAACTTTTTCTTCATAAATGCAATACATTTTGATTTATAGATACATGATGAGACGCCAAAAATAAATCTTTAACAAATAAATATTGTCCGATTACCTGTGGCAGTGGCTTTCATGAGTTCACACTTACAAATGATTGAATAGAGTAAAAAATATATAATAAGCGTATTTGGTGTGCTGTCCAAGGGGATCGAGGGCTCCGAGCTTGGAATTTAGCCCAAACCCAAAGTTCTCCCCGTATCCCCAGCCGAGAGTGAGGAGCGGGGTGGTGGCGAGTCGGCTCTAGCCCGGGTATATAGGCTATACCTCCTCTCGAGCTGATTAGAAAGACCGTTTGAATGTATTCCTCCCAAACTTTGTTTATAAAACATCATTTGTCACTTGAATTCTGCATTCTCTTGAGATGCAGACATCCAAGAGTCGGACAATTAACTGTATTTACTAGTTTAATTAGTGACACTTAGCCTACATTTTAAAACCTTTATTTGAATATGGCAACATTTTTATTTAAAAAATATGTATTTGAATAGGGCAACATTTGTATTTTAAAACCTTTATTTGAATATGGAAACATGACACCTCATTCTACAATATTTCTATGATTAAATCGCTGACTCCTCCCCCATCAGCCAATCACTGTGTATACTCCATAGCAACGAGGTCAACCCCGCCCTTACTCTTAGCTTAAGACTTCAGTCTATTCCTTAGTAAAAGTTTGTCTCAGCAGCTTTGTGAATAGGTTTTAAGAGAAAACTCTTAGCTAATTTTACAGCTTTACGGCTATTTAGGAGAATTCTTAGTGGTAAGATAAAATGTTTTGTGAATACGGCCCCTGGTCTATAACTCCTCCCCGAACTTCTCGCTGCCCTGGTCATTGCCGATGTAGTTTTCAGTCAGAACACATTTCACACATCATGATTTTAAATCGTCGACAGGTCCAGATATTTAGCATGCCAAATATCACAATTTTTCTCAAATCGCGTCTGATAATTCACACTGCGTGATTGTCACTCGCGTGAACGAGCACCGATATGCCTATGATTTCGGGCATTTGCAATTTTGCAAAACCTGTCGGCGGCTGAAAATCGGGCCTAAAATTGTGCAGTATGAACTCTGCATTAGTGTGTAAACACTGCTATGTTGTTGCCTGATAGGGCAGCGAGGCAACAAGTCAGTTTTCAGATGCAGCCTTTGTATGTCTCCCTAATCGAATACACCCAATTCATTTTATTAGCTCATAAGCACAAACTGCAAGACTGGAATTAGGTGTGTAGTGCTGTGGGTTCCCAGGACAAGTTTGAAAACCCATGATTCAATATCTTTTGGCTACGATCATATGATGTTCCCACAAGTTAATAGTGGCCACGACAAAACTAAGTGAACAGAACATGTCCCCTCCCGGTCACTGTATGTAATAGCACACAAATGGTAAAACATTTTTGAATTTGCATTGATATGCACTATCATTCTTGTCTTTTTAAAGTTTGTATTCCCATTTAAAACTTAAATCTTAAGACTTTTACCTATCTTGCTCTCCAACACGTGCCCTTGCAGTACGATTTCCTCCCCTGTCCCTGGCACCGATTAGCCACTTTGACGCTGCTTTTTCTGCCTCTCTTCTGGTAATTGGGTTTGTAAGGGCATTTTTTTTTCAAGCTTCCTGTAAAATACATAAAGAGCATTAAAGTGAGATTAAATTCCATATTTGAGCTCTTGCAACAAAGAAGCAGTTATCTCCACTTTGACATTACGGTATCGAATATAATATTCTGTCATACAGAAATGGTTTCTCTGCATTTTTACAAAAGCAACAAGAGCAATGTTTTTGCTGCAAAGATTTATTAACCGAACAAACACAGAAAAAGGCACATAGCAATATTTAAAGGCATGGTTCACACACAAAAAAATTTAATTTGTGTCATCATTTATATGTCAACATAATGTCAAAATATCCATCTCGGCAAGTATTCAGATAAACATAGTCGGTTATGTCTAAAGTGAACGTAAACAGTTGTGAAAGAAATCAGATTTGTTTCATTATTTGGAATCCGTGTATTAGGTCTCAAAGGGACAGCAGCCTATAAACACCTGCTGCTATGTCATTCATGTTAATCAAGATTCATCTATATTTTTATTGATACAGTTAACACTATGGTGTTATTTTGCATTTATTACATTTCTGTACCTGAATACTACTGTTAGACCTAACTTAATTTGTAACTTTCTGTCTATTGTCTTTATATATATACTAGTAACTAGTGTATTTGTTTTTATTTTATTAGTATTACTTCACTTGTATTAGCTCACTTGTCTTTAATAATGTTTGAACTTTATTATTTATTATAAACTGAGTTTTGTGAACACCACTAATTAACAGTTACCTATCACTTAAATTGGCAGTATACCTTGTCCATATTGTCATAATTCTGGGTAATTCTCAGTCTAAGTATGGACAATTATTTGCATACAATCAAATTGATTTGATTCCACTAATTTATGAAGAACAACTGAACTCTACAGAATAACCTCTGTTTGCACATGAATATGTTAAACAGCGAGTAAACATACCATATACCACCTCAAACAGTTTGAGCCCCCCAAACTCTCGCTTTCCATGGCGGCCAACAAAGTTATACTCTCTAGATAGGGGAGGATCTAAAAGGAAGGACATCATTCGTCTTGTGGCTTCATCCACAGTACTCCCTCCAATATCTGCCACCACGGCAACCTAAGGAAAAACAAGATTATCATTATTGGGAGACAACACAAAAAACGAACCTAAATAATTATAATTACATTTCTCCCCAAATCGTGCAGCCATAGGTTAATCGATGGCGCACTTGCTATTTTACATAGGAAGTAGTAATCTATTGTGTGTATTGTGTATCGAGTCCATAAATACAACTCTATTTCTCACAATTCCTAGGGAACACGCCCATAATTCCTATGCAGTTAACTCTGTGACAGATGTTTTATACTTGTACTACAATTGTGTTGCCTGTGCTACAAAATAATTCTACCTCTGTAGCAAAAAAGCTACAGTACTGTGCACGTCTTAGGCCACCATTAGATTTGTTGTTTTAGAAATGGTATAATGACCATATGTAATTATAACTAGAGTTTTTATTAGAATACAACCGGGAAATACAGGAAATTTATAGGCAGTATTAAAAACACAAAGAAATACAGCTTTTATTTAGGCTAAAGTGGCAAGTATTTAGGGTGACCTCCCCTTATATTTGAGCAATAGCACACCTGGTTTGGGGCTACATTTCTGCCAGTGGTGTTGGCAATATTGTCGAATTGATGGCATCATAAATGCTAAAAAAGTAAAGACAGGTTCCATTCCTTTTAGAAGGCGCCAAATTTGGAATGTTTTTATTTTTCAGCATGTCATCGATTCCAAGCACACTGCTAATGCAGTGAAATCATATTTGGAAAGAAAAACAGCTTACAAAACACCGACAGTCATGGACTGGCCTGAATTTATTATCCAGAACTGAATTTATAGAGGCAATATGGGATCACCTTAGGGTGTACTTACAGTAGGCACGGTTGCCTTGAACCGAGCTCGAGCGAGATTGTCCCCTCTCCCCCGCTAGCCCGCACTCATATTGCACTTGACGTTCTGGGCCGGGGCACGCTTATGTCATATACAATGCAACTTTTTGTATGGAAGAAAATAGGAAGAACTGCACTTTCGCTAAGATACTGCCTAATAGATTTATCATTTATGCCGCGCAGCGATTTTCACTTGCACGTATCAGAGGATTATTACGAAAGCAGCTGACGTTAATGGAGGAATTTGCAGCTTTACTCGCAAACTACAATTCCTGTTCATCAATAAGGTGAGAACCAGACCCCGTTATAAACCCAAATACACTCAAATTAATTGAAAAGTGTACTATTAAAGTAGTAATAAAGATGTTTGCCATGTTGGCACGGTTCAGAGCGCCTAATGTGAGGGCAAGAGGACGTTTGACTGACATGTAACGCAACCAATCAGTTTTGTTCCACGTCATGTTTAGGGGTGTTCAAGTTGATGTTCCTACGATAACAGACCGGCGTGCATTTAATAAATAATTAATTCAAGAACGTTGTGCAAGTTTACTGCAATAATGGAGCCGCAAACTTTACATACATTTAAAATCCAGCGTTTAGTTTGTAAGTGCTCATTGTTACTAGGGGTCATCATAGCATTTGTTTCCAGACAGACCATTAAACAATGTGACACACACGTCTCCAGGACAACCTGTAGAATTAAACAAATCAGATGACAACTTGGAAACTCCTGAAGTGTTTCCAGATAAGTGTACCATATGCATCAGACGTTCAGTGGGCATGATGTCTGAGGCTGAGACTAGGATCACCTAGACAGAAAGAAATAAAATACAGCCTAAATCTAAAGATGAACTCTGGGAAGTGCACAAAGAAGCCTGGTATAATATGCCAGAGGATTACTTAAGAAAACTTAAGGACCGTCCCCAAAAGAGGTATGAGAGGTTACACAAAATATTGACTTTTGCCTGAAGAAGCCGTTTTGTTCTGAAAACTGTTTTTGTTGTTCTTATTTTGTGTACATTTTTCCTGTACCTTCTGTTTATGTTAATAAAGAAACCGAAAAATAAAAAAATAAAAGTCATTAAAACTTTGCTTAAACAACAAAGCTGGTGGTGGCCGAAGACTTTTGCACAGTACTGTACGTGAAAAAACATTAACATTAGGACCTGTGAACCTGCTAAATTGGTCATATTAGAACATACCACTTGTTTTTGGAAGGTGGGGTCTGACAATTTTTGCTCCATTGCATTAACGTCCGAGACTGTCCTCAGGGGGAAAACGATGTCCTCTGGAAGAGCAGCAACTGCACTTGCATCCCGTTGTGTGAGGAGTGATTGTATCATCCTCCCATGAACCCTCTGCGTCTCCTTTATTTCCTCCAGGACAGTTAGGAAACGGGCAAACATGCCATCTCTAAATGAAGAACTGGCACCTTGCAGAACTCTACTGGGGTGGTCTGGTGTAACAGCCATTGAAGGTGTTGAAAGTGGAGAGGGCTGAATATATGGACGGGTCCTGTGCAAGTGGGGAGCCTCTGGTTGGAGGTTCTCTGGCACTGGGGGAGGTAAATGCTGATCTCTAAATGCAGAACTGGCATCTTGAAGAATTGTACTGGGTCGGTCTGGAGTAACGGGCATTAAAGGAGTTGAAGGTGGAGGGGGTTGGATAAATGGACGGGTCTTGAGTGAGTGGGCAGCCTGCGGTTGGAGGTTCTTTGGAATTGGGGGAGATAAAGCCCCACTGGATGCATGATCATGCCCAGCACCATCCTCATCTGAGCTTGACAGACATACCGGCCTTGAAATTCATAAAATGTAGAGCATAATTAAGTATTGTACAAGTTTCAAATTACATCTGTATATGTGCAATGTAGGATAATAGGACAATGAATAATAATGCATGAAATAAACAGTGCTTTATTTTTTTTTAAGCTACTATGTATTTAACAGTAGCATTAAAGAAGCACTACTTCAACTTTACTGTTTTAATTAAATATACATTGATTCTTATTAAAGCTGAGTTATTTAGTCGAGCAGGAAGTGATATTCTCTTTGACTTGTTTGATTAACATTAATGATACAAGCTGATGGATCTAAATCCGTGATATCACAGGCTCCTACTGCCAGGGACTTAGCTGGGGTATCAGGGGCCCTAAATGTACTGCGCACCTTTTTTTTACCGCAGTAGGCTATGTTAACTGAGTTTGTGTGTGCTGCGCTCATTTGTTTCCATTTCTCCTCGAGAGGCTGCGCAACCTTGTTACTGTCAGTACATATACATTATATATTATTTTGACCTCCCAAATATATTTTGAGCTCGCACGTATTAAAATTAGGGAGCATATGCGACTAAAACACTGGCACGTGTCTTCCTGTGCAAACAGGAACTTGTGTTTCACATAGACATGAGATAGACAGCGCATTCTCGTTTGTCTTGTGGTGCTTAAATGGTAATGATCCTTTTCAAGAACAATTGTTGCTTTTAAAATCTATGTATCCAAGAAATACAGTGGGTACGGAAAGTATTCAGACCCCCTTAAATTTTTCACTCTTTGTTATATTGCAGCCATTTGCTAAAATCATTTAAGTTAATTTTTTTTCCTCATTAATGTACACACAGCACCCCATATTGACAGAAAAACACAGAATTGTTGACATTTTTGCAGATTTATTAAAAAAGAAAAACTGAAAAATGCTCAGTATTTAGTAGAAGCACCCATTTGATCTAATACAGCCATGAGTCTTATTGGGAAAGATGCAACAAGTTTTTCACACATGGATTTGGGGATCCTCTGCCATTCCTCCTTGCAAATCCTCTCCAGTTCTGTCAGGTTGGACGGTAAACGTTGGTGGACAGCCATTTTTAGGTCTCTCCAGAGATGCTCAATTGGGTTTAAGTCAGGGCTCTGGCTGGGCCATTAGCCACGCCTACCTAAAACGGCTCGTTCGAACACGCCCCCACATATCTACCTCACTATGTGGGAAGATTTGCATAACGCCGCCCAAATGTTCACGCAAAGAAAGAAGGCGTAACTTTTATTCTCGCTGTAGTATTGTTGTTGCCGCCGCCGTCATGTCGCGGAGACGCTGTGTGTTTCCTTGTGAAAGCGAAACTACTTTGTTTGGCCTTCCAAAAGAGGACGATATCTGCTTCGTCATGCCTAGAGCTGATCCGTGCTGGTCGCTGAGGAAATACATCAACTTTGTGTAAGCCCGCTTTTCTGGTTCTTTCTTTACAATAAATCAGTTTTTTCCATAATTAAGAGCTCAATTTCTTTTTCTGTTGTTTTCTGAACATAGAAAATATAACATCATAAGAACATTAGTACATCATACCTGGAATATATGAAATGACACCAAACAGACATGAAATACAGCTCATCCGGTCTCATGTATGTTGTATCCAACAAATTCAAGGCCGTAAATCAAGCCAAAATCTTGGACAAAAAGTTTCAAAATATCTTCAGCATAGTCACAGTTCTCTGTACAGAATTCTTATAGATACAGACAAAAGTATAAAGTTTCTATACATTGTATTGGGCATATTTTTAAGAAGGACAACAGGACCAGTGTAAAGCAAAAACTGCCTCAATTCAGTCGCCTTCCACATACTAATTTCGAGGAGAGACCTTGGTTTCCTAGCAAAATTCCTCGGTAAATACTGCCTGACAGAAGCCATGAATGCCGAAATCGTAGTGAGATTTTGAACAGACTGCCTGCATTTCAGAGGCCCTTTTAACCAAAGATAAATCAACTGGCGCATCGCCCCCAAACACACAAGGTGCATATAATCAAGGACAAAACTTGAGACTAATCCCACACCTAACTCAGACAGGGGCGAAACTCCTCCTTGGTGCTCTTCATAGCCCATTTCCCTAAATGTCTGATCAGTCCTTATCTCTGCAGACAACTCAGGAAAAGACATTCTCCTATTTACATGGACACCTTTTTGAGTGCAGCGCTCACATGCGTAATACCCAGTGTGGCCCTTCACACATTTGAGGAATGCACGTGCTGGAGCATCACATATGAATGCATCAGGAGCAGCAACTGTGAAATGTACATCATTATAATGAAGACCCTCCTGTACAACAACTTTAACATCTTGAATAAATTCATTTAAATACTCTTGCACATTTGATGGTTTTGTCACACCTGAGTATAAGCCAATCATAAAAACATTTGAATTTGGGATCTCCTTAATCCTACCCAAAATAGGCCACAAACTCACATTGTTGCTGCGGAATAATGGTAGACCATCGATATTAACTCTTAAGTGTTAGAGTGTCAGTTAGATCTCTCAGATCAAAATCTAAAGATGACAATTCTGCTAGAACTGATTTCTTTATTCCAAAATTAAACAGTCTTGTCTCGTAATTACATTCGAAATTCCTGCTTTCATTTTGGGTGTTTGATATGTACACCTTACACAAATAAAGAAATTACTGCCATTGTGGGATTGATATCGTAAAACAGTGGTAAAATATTAAAGCTAGATTCTCAAATCCAATCAATTTGGACACAGTTTGTAGTAAAGAAAAATGTTACAATGATAGCATACAGTAATTCTTATCGCTTTGGTCATGGCGCCAGAAATAAGGGGGAAAATGGCGCGATCTTAGGGAACTGGATGTCTAACTGAAATTCTAACTTGACAAGAAGATATGTTTTGTTAAACATTATGATTTGAAAACAATGTATTTTAATTAAAATGTTCATTTTTGTATATATTGTATGAAATTATTAGGTTCTTACCTTGAATACACTGACAGCAAAAATCTCCTCCGAAAAATTACAGCTGAATGACAGTGAGTGATGGCGCTGGCGCGATTCAGGTAGGGAGGGGTGGGGGATGGGTATTGCTGAATAAAATCTCGCGAGATCCATCCTGCCAAAGTTTTGTAAACTCTCTAATGTATTATTTTTTTTTTAGCATTTTTTCTCTGTATGCAGGCACTTGATCCTTTTAAATCGCAGAAATTTAGGTAAAATAGCAATTTTGCCATTTAAAATTTTTGATTAGATTAAAGTCACATTGTGTTAAAGTGTCAAAATAACAATAAAAATAATTTTAAAGGAGCATATTTGTGTACTATCTACCCATGTAATCAACCTTTGGGATTGACTGTGTTTGCACTTGTCTTCTTGCTAAACTGAATTAGTAGCCCATTTTCAGCCCATGTACTCATTTCCCATTAGTGAACCAAGTAGGTCCCACATGGGGAGCCCACCTGGGTTTGCCCATGTGGGACCTACTTAGTTGACCCAAGTGGGCCCCAGATAAGATGCCCATTTTGAGCCCATGCCCACTCTGTACCCCTGTAGCCCATTTGTAACCCATATGGGCCCCACAAAAACGTGTTGGCTGGGAAAATGTTTCACAAACATATCACAGATGTACAACTTTTGTGCAAAAAGTTTTGAATGTGTAATATTCACAAGTTTATCATGTACACACACAAATCCAGGCAATTCACACACTAATGGTGATTTGCACATTCACAGTACATGATAAACTTGTGAATTGTAAACATTCAAAACTTGTATTCTGTAAACTGTGTTTCTGAAACCTTCTATGAATATATATTTTTATTTTGAGCACTTGAATTGTTTTTTTATGAATATATATAATGTTTTTCGTTTACATGAATTAGGTTTCACGCATGTGTGCATAGTGTCTTTTGCGTGAATTATTATTGAGACTAATCTCACTCCATAAACTCCTGCCTCAACAGGAACATTACTCAATCTCTACTAATGAAATTTTTCTTAATTACCTGTGTATGCTCTGTAGATGTATATATAATGTTTTTCGTTTACATGAATTAGGTTTCACGCATGTGTGCATAGTGTCTTTTGCGTGAATTATTATTGAGACTAATCTCACTCCATAAACTCCTGCCTCAACAGGAACATTGCTCAATCTCTACTAATGAAATTTTTCTTAATTACCTGTGTATGCTCTGTAGAGAGTAGATTTGCATACACTTCTGGAAGAGATCCTCGTTTTTTTCACAACCAACTGATCCGTAGTCTCTGCAGCAATACCCTGAAAAACAATAGAAACTGTTTATTTCCAATTATCTACCTTTACTTTGCAATACTAGTGTGTAGCTTTGCTTGTGGTTATGTTACCTGTGCCCTTAGTCTATGCCATGTTTGCAGCATGCTTGTGGATGCCATAGTTGGTGGTACAGTCTGCATCTGCATCATGCAGAAGTGGGCCGTTTGGAATAACATGGCTACAAGATGATTGCACAGTGCTTTGCCTGCAGTGCATGTGCAAGACGAGCTTGTGAGCTCAACAGGCACTGTGTCAGCTTTTAAACTGATCTGAAGTAAAAGACAAAAGCCAATATCAGTACATATTTATAAAGTGATGCTTATACTACAGAGAGAACATTGATGAGAACCATCAAACAACATTTTTAATGAAAGGAAAAAACCTCAATATAGAAATCTGCAACCGCAGCATGAAAAACTATTTAAAACTATCCCTTAAACTATAAGCGTTATTTTTCAATACTGTACTGTGTTGGAAAATGCAAACAGGGATCGTGTCATGCTAAGCATAGAATTTCTTAACTTCTAGTGCAAGAGATTAGTTTTATAAACAGGTTTTTCATTTTCTAAGTTAACCTGCAATGAATGTGGCCCCTCGCGCTTCCTCATCGACCTAAAACACCTACACCTCACGATAACCTCCCTGTTTCTCACACTCGACACTGAACATTGCACGACAAAAATGAACATATTATACATATCACATTAAACATCATCATTCAATATGGTATGCTACCTCCTTTGACTACTCTTATCTGTTTTAAACTACTCTTAAACCAACAGCTTGATAAAGGTAAGTATACAAATAACATTTACGGTATCACGTTAGCTAAACCATGCTAATTTATGGTTCGTCACTTACCTTCGTAATTAAAGATGTAATTTTCGTGGAAGAACTTATATCCTTTGTTGAGTTTTGAGTGCGGAGCGATTGCATGAAGGTCCACGAGATGAAAAACATCCGCTGATGTAAATGCTGGTAAATTTTTCAAGGAGGTTGTGAAAGCTAGCACGCCTGACTCCATTTCGCCGGAAGTATCTATCCACAACAATCGCTGTACCGGATGTGCGTTCGAACGTCCGTGAAAAAGGCCCATGGTAATTCAAAGTGCTTTACATAAAAGGAAGTAAAATAATCATAAAAAAATCACAATAATAAAACGGTGAACTTAAAAACTTTTACAATTATTTAGAAATTGATTTAAAATGAATTTAAAACAGTTAAAAATAGAAAATGATTATATATAAAATACAGTGCAATCCGTTCAGACGTAGCACAGTGATCATTCAATAAATGCACAGTTTTCTGTGGCCACGAATCCATCCTTTCTTAGAGTTGATATGAACTTACACTGAATGTTTGCTGGACGAACAGATTGGTTGATGGCAATTTAATCCTGCTAGTTACTACTGGCAGCTGATATAAATAATTGTAATTAATCATAATTAATTGTAGTTATTTATATACATTTCCCTTTTGAGCTAATTTGCTACAATTTACAGAAAATCACTGCCATTTGTCAAATAAATAATTTTACATACTTATTCCCAGCATTTCATTATGTGAGCTTTAAGTTACATCTTAAATGACAAGAATTTAATTTCTAAACATATTAATTAGCCAGTCCGCGAACTCATTCTCGGAAATGGCCTGGGTATGCGGAGCATTTGCGAACGCCACTGATTTATATATATACATATTCTTTTTTTTCAACTAAAAGAAAACCTTAAGATATAATGTAACGTTGTTGTAGAACGCTGTGTATAATGCCTAAAGGCCTTTTCACACTGAATGCAAAAATTCGGCGTGATGACGCTGTTGAATCGAAACAATAGATCCCTATGGGTCTATTCACACCAGGCGCGATCATTCGCGGTGCGAAAAAGCGAGGATTGTTTTCACGTCCTGTTTGTCTATTTTTTTCCCCGTCACTCCGCGATGAAATGGCCATCCAGTTCGTTTTTAGCTTAGATCACGTGCCCGGTTGCACAAAAAGTCGAGAGTGGTGGCGCTGTTTCGAAAACTAGTGTAAACAAACACAGAAGAAGAGTATCCCGAGAGAGAAGAGAGTGGATGCCGAGTTCTTGTTATCATTGGTATCTTAAGAACAGATTTATTCTCACGTTCTTTATATAATTTCTATTAATTCTCCACTGAATTATGTGATCTGAAGAGCACTGTCCGTTTTCTTCCATGTGTGCGAGTGTTATGAGTCACACTCTAGATCTTCCATATTAAAAAAAAATCGAGTGAAACAGTTTTCTACACATGAAATATAAAAGCAAATAGGCATATGATTATGACAATATATTTTCTGTATGTGTTTTGTATGCAGCTCATGGTATTTTTATAACAATAAAGGATGTTGATGACAAAAGCAGTGTAGCGTCATTAAACATACAAAGAGTGCTTGTCTGCCTATTATAGAATCAAAATCAACTGTAGATCACAATCGGAAGTTACTACAAGCACTCGATGATGGTTTGAATGTGGGTTTTAAGCAAATACATTAATAATTACATGAATGTTCAAGTGTAGCTTGATGCTAATTGTACCTCTAATTATATTTTATGATTTTTTCTTGTAAGCATTATAGATAGTTTGTGTTTTTGGTGTAGAACCAAACTTTATTTAGAGGTTGATGTACAAATCTACAGGTATCGATCATGCTAATGTTGTTAGAAGACAACTGCAATTACAAACGAATGTAGCTTATATGCCATTGCACAAATAATAACATTGCAACATGTTGTCTATTGATTGTTGCATATTTGCTTGTATTTGTGTTTTTGAGTAATCTCTGTGGCCCTAATAAAGGTTAATTTTATTGACAAACATAGTTCACTGTATAACATTAAAAATAATGAGGCCTACAAGTTTTTGGCTATGGCACTAAAAAAATGCATCAAACAAAAATATTACATTTTCTTGTTTTGGGGGGGGGGAAATTAAATGGTTCTAATTGTGTCTGATTGCACACAATTACCAAGAATTCAACTATGAATAACTCTGGCAAGGGCGTTTATTAAAGAGGAGAGTGAAGACGTGAAGATTGAAGACACTTTCAGAGTCAAACAAGAAGATAATACTGAGGAACAAACAGGTTGGTTTTTATTCTCATTAGATGCTTATTAAAATGCCAACCTTTACAGAAAAATGCATTGTTTTTGAAGCATATCCAAGGGTGTAAAATACTTTTTACTTAATTATTTTTACTTTTTACTGTACTTATTACTTTTGGGGGGGTGCACACAACTTTTTATTTTATTTTACTATAAATACTACATAGCCAAAAGTATGTGGACAAACACTACACCTGTATGAGCTTGTTAAAGGGATAGTTCACCCAAAAATGAAAATTTTGTCATTAATTACTCACCCTTCTGTTGTATTTTTGATGGAATCTGAGAGCTCTCTGACCCTCCCATAAGGCCAGGACACACCAAGCCGACTTCAAAGAACTAGCGGCGACGAAAGTTTTGTCATTTTCAAACTAAATGAAACCACTCGTTATAAATCTCCTAACTGTGATATTTTCAGAAATAGAAGTCGCGTTTTTT